AACGAACTTTATGAAGAGGACAGACTTTTCCCTCCGAAGGCGAACGGGCATATGCCGGAAGTTGCCGGAGGAGTACGAAGAAAAGCTTCAGAGTCTTCAGAGGTTCCTCCTAAACTTGCGGCACAACAACAGCTACCTGCTTGGGCAAATCGGGAATGCCGATCAGACGCCTCTTTACTTCGACATGCCTGGCACCACAACCGTCGAGTAGAAGGGGGCGAAGCAAGTTCGTGTACTGACATCGGGCCCCAGTAAAACTAGAGTGACAGCAATGCTTCGTTGCACGTCAGATAGGCATAAGCTTCCCCCATACTTCATATTTAAACGGAAGACGCTCTCAAAAAGAGTCGTTTTCCCGAGTGGTTGATCAAGCGGGCCAACGAGAAAAAAGAGTGCGCGTTGCAACCGATGTCTTCGTTTTTTTTTTTTTGTCGTGGAAACCGGGCGCGCGTTACAATCGAGGGCACGGTAGAACCGAGTCAATACGGTAATCAGGCAAAACAATTGGTCTCCTGATAAATCAACAACAACAAGGGCTTCACGATTCTCGTTTCCAAGTTTCCATTACATCTTAAGCAATGCAAATACAGTCGAAAACTGAGTTACATAGCAACTTCGAATGCAGCTGCAACATTCGTTTGCGCGAGAGACGACGCGGCGACATCTCTACTCCAGTTGTGGCACCTGGTGGCGAAACGCTTCACTAGCCCCGACGGCTGCTTCCCATTGAAATCCGCTGCTTTGCCCGGGCACTGAAAAAATAGAGGAGGCGCTGACCTGGTTCCCCAAAGTAGCATTTCTGATGGTGTCATATTGGAGCAACATCTCTGGTTCTACTCACCAGTCTCGATAATTCTTTTTTTGTCAGAAAGATTGTGAATTTAAAAGTGTAGTAGGACTAGTATATAGTTAGTTATTATTAAAGAATATCTATAAAAAATTTTTGAATTTATTACTGGGTTTTACAAATGAATATTCAAATGCCCTAATTTTATCCAAGATTGTTGTAAAATATTCACTCTTGCTTGATTGAACCCGTATATCATCCTCGATCACTGTAGTGTTCAAGAGATTTCCATAATTATTTCTAACTTGTCCTGAAACATTTTTTCTCGTTTTCCCAAAACGACGTTTTTGGTCATGGTGTACTTTTGGAGTGACGATATCTCTGGTGGTACTTATCTTATCGCAGATATTCTTGTTCTGTTACAAAAGGGGACAAATGGGGAGCACCATAGGCATAAAATTTGAACGAGTAACATCAGAAATGTTTTCAAAAAGTAATTTCTCCAGGGTGTTACTAGAAAATTTTGCTTACAAAAGTTTGACATGCTGTAACTTTGGCCCAAGGTAGCCTACAGCATTCATTCTTGCAGCACTGCAAGCTCTGACTATACAACATCTTTTTCATATGCCACTGTCTTTTATCACTACCAGCATTGAAGAAAAGACCCACCTCGAAAGTAGTCAATGCAAAAAACACGAATTTCTCAATATTTTGAAACGTACTTGTTGCACAAACGAGCTAATTGCATATTTGAAATCAGCATGTCAAAATACATAAAGGATCGACATTTCATCAAAATTCACCAATAAATAAAAAAAATTAAGTTAGGTAAGGGGGGACACGGGTCTTAGGGCTCTCTCATCTATTTTTGAGCCAAATGTGACAAAAGTTGGCATGCTTTACTCAGTTTGTTATCCTGATTCTAAAGTGTAGTTATTTTTTCTGTGGCTTCTTTAATTCATTATATAATCAAGATAACAATCTCTATTGTTCCTACCACAATAGAAAAATAACCACCAGTCAAAAATTTACAAATGGCAGAGGGATTGACGGTATACATAGAAAGCACTTTTTTGATTGAGTCATTATTTTTCACTTTACAATATACTAAACTTCATAGCTCTGAGTGTGGTCACACAAAAGACCCATTTTAAAAATTTGCATCAAGAGAAATTCAAATGTGCTTCCCATGTTGTGTGCTCCAAACAGCTTCATCCTACGTTCTGCTATCTGTAATAGTTTCCGATATGTTGCAAGAATTGTCATGCAGAGTGTAAAAAATTGCTATTTGGGGAAAATCACCAAAGAGTTCTAACATGTTTAACCGTAAAAATGTATGTACTTAGAATTATATAGTCATTAACATATACATGGATACTAGAAAGCCTGAGGAATGCAATGCTGCAAGCTGACCGAAAATTGAACAAGTACTTTTCAAATGTAACCAAAAACAAAAAAATCATATTAGCAGAAAAAAACTGAGGCTTCAGATTAAGAATCGTCTCTCATCGTTGTTTTTTGTGCAATTTAGCTACACTGTGCAAAAATAATTACAGCTGTAGCTGTCCTAGGTCGACTTTTACAGGACAAGGGAACAAGGAAAGTGGTCAAAATCTGTGCTTCGAGAAAAATACTGCTAAATTTTTATTTAGCTGTTTCGAGTGAACAATATAATGGTAAACATACTTTAGGTCAGTTAATATGCACCCGGCATGTAATCAGACTGTTTTCATGAGGGTGTCGTTTCTTCAAATCCTGCTGCAAGTTGTCGCTGTGTCCTCGTCTGCCGACAAGGCCACTTATCAGTTCGGTGACAGTACTGACGTCGATGTACGGCGAACGCGCACGCGTCATTCGCGATCCGTCTAATGACACAGCGATGTTTTCCGGCTTGTCCAGAATGAGTTACCTGTAAATGTCACGAACCAAACTTGTGCCCTCGCTCATCAATTTCAAGGCTACATGAGTGCTGAGGTATTAGTTTCCTTTTCACGTAAGACTGCAACATTTTCCAGTGGGGAGCGCGACATCATGGCAAACACGTCGTTAAAAGCAGTCTACTTGTTGCTAGCAGCCTCCATTGTAGTGGCAGTGAGCCCGTCGCCTGTTACCGCGAAGGGACTGATTTTCTGTTGTTCGTCGACGACACGTGACGAACTCCACTCTGACGACCCGTCATGCAGTTCACACACAAATGAGGTTGTTTAGTCAGGCGGGCGAACCACGGCATCGGAGCATTTAGCAATAAGACTGTGCTTCCGTTCTGTCGCTGCATATGTGAATATATCTCCTAGCTTCTCCTATGCTTCTTTACTTGTTGTCCTCTAACTGATGAGGTGCAAAACCAAGCGGCTCTCAGTAACGTTGTCAGCAACCGTTGTGGACCGCCGCGAGATCGTTATTCTTGTCCTGAGCCATAGCGGGGCTCTTTCTGAAATTCACAGTGAATTGACGATCACCCCACCCATTTCACAAATTATTGTGGGGCACAACTTTTTTACTGCACAGGCAGTCGACAGCACCATAACAAAATGATGCATGTCCGCGCTTACGCAAATAGTGAACCAGACACCAGAAATGCCACTTAAGGGGGCAGACTACTCTTAGACATTTTTTGTTTATTTTTTCAGTGATCTTGATCAAACTGCACAGAATTATGCAGTTTTTTCTGCTGATTTCAAATGTTTAATGAGTTTTTCTGTAACTCATCTTATTCCTGCGATAACTTAAGCTCACCCCCTATTGTTTAAGGCCACCATAGAAGAAAAAGTGCTTAATTAAAAGTGATATTTAAAGTATCCTAACATATACTAATGACTATACATTGAAATAATGCAAGAGGTTTTTGTTTTTAAGCCTTTCTTATTATTTTACAGCATAATGAACTATTCATTTTTAAAAGCAGTTGGAATTGTTTTAAAACTTTGATGAGTAATTAAAAAGGCTTGTTCTCTAAATTCTGCTCCCATACTTGCACCCTGAACACATACAGGTTTCCATTGCGAAGAGAACAGTTGTAAATTTACTTTTTTGAGAAAATGGAAAAAACTGAAAACACACAGCTTCTTCAAAAAGCAACAATCATGGTGTGCATGTTTAGCAATCCTCATAAAAGTGCTCATAAATTTATAGCAGAGCTTCTAACACAGGTGCCGGCAAAATATAAGGAGGCCTCGAAGCTGGTTCCCCATTTTTTTTTGCAGGTTCTGCATGTTAACAGCACTAAGAATCTGGAAAGTTAGAATGACATTACAAAAAAATTACCACTTCCTGGTGTGATAGCTCGTGTGTAATGGCAGTGGTTCGGTGCGGAAAAATCGTAACTTTAGCATTCCTTTGCGCTTGCATTCATCTTACACGGGTGTCATAAACTGATATTGCGCCAGAAGTAATGATGCGAGAAGCTAGAAACTTCTCAGATAAGTGCGACAATATGTACAGATTTCGAAAATGTCTGCTTCAAAAAGCCGTTTTTTTTTTCCGATTTTGGGTATTCTAAGATTCGTGTTCCCCCTTAAGTTGCACCGCCAATATTTCGTGATGGTCTTCCGAGTAAGAGCAAACATTCTCCACCCCTTGTCGTCTCCTCACTTCACCACTAATATTGCGCCACTAAGATCATACGACTGCAACTGAAGTCCACACCGACAACAGCAGCATCGGCCTCCGTGTGGTTTACGTGCAACGAAAGCCTGGGTTCAAAATGTATGTCATCACAACACCAGCAGAACTCTCACCAAGATTGAGACAAACTAAAGTGTCACTGAGAAAGAATGCTTGGCGATCGTTTAGGCACTTGTTAAGCTCCGCCCCTACCTTTGTGGCCGTACATTTGATGTATTAAGAGACCACCACTCATTATGTTGGTTGTCTTTGGTAAAAGATCTATCGCGTCACGTCGTTTTGCCTGTTGGGCTCCTTGGCTTCAAAAATATGACATCCGCGTCATATACTGTTCCAGCCCCAAGCATCCCGATGCTGATACACTCTCGGGCTCCACATTATTCCCTGAAATTGCATCCTTTTCCCCAGGCCACACGTTGTGAGCTCTTAACATCAAGGTGCTTCTATTCCTTCCATGCACACACCACAATCTAGAAAACAGTTAGTACTACAACCATGAAGGCCTTAGCGCATCGTAAATAGATGAACAGAAAGTGAAAATGCCTTTGCCGACAAAAAGGGAGGAAAAAAGTGACAATGTCACTCTTACCTTCTGAAAGAAGCTCCTGTCAATGTCCTTACTTGTGGTCTTGAGATTCTGAATATAAAAGCAAAAAAGCAAGAAAGATTGGTCATGCTTCAGCAGGTTTTCATCGATACCAAAATGTACTAATTACCGTAAAATTCTGATCAGCTGCCACTGCCCCAACTGCCACTTTGAGCCCCTCACGCACAGTGCCCCAGCAACAGTGACCTGCTTCAATCCAACCCAATCCTGCTTAGCTTCGATATCTGTAAACTTTGCACACTTATCTTAAATTATGGAGCATGCAGTTAGCAAAAGTAAGGCGCATTTGTGTCTGTTGTCCAGAGTTGTGTCGTATTGGTGTACACCCATCAATAAGGGGTGCTTCCGTGCCATGCTTGCTGAGCTCTGATTGTGTGTCCTTTATGTTTCTAAATCATTGTTGTAATCCACAGTGCCATGAACAGGAACCAGGAGATTTCCAAAGAAGTTCACATGTACTTAGTTCTCAACAGTGAAAGCTAAATATGGCTAGGAGAAATGAAAGACTATCAGGCAGCGATGACATGAGCGGTCTATGTCAGCTGTCCTATCAGTTAAGTCATTCTCAGAGTTGTACCCAAGCAGGCGCGCCATTGGTTGCTTTGTGAGTGATGCCTTCCATCCCGTTGCAGCCATGGCGTCAAGTATGCACGTATCAGTTTCTACCAAGAGCTTCCCCATAAGTAAACCACGAACAACTCTAGAAGAGCATGGGCAGCGAAAACATGAGAGCTCGCGTTCGTCAGGCCAATGGTGCAGTCCCAGGCCCAGAAGGCCGAGTGTCGCCAGTAACTGCACAGTGATGATCTGGCAGTCTTTCAAGCCGCGCTGAATTGCGAACGGGAATGCAAGCACTGGTGGCAAGCGGAGCCTGCAAACCACGGCATTGAGTTAGCTCGCGATTTCAAATGTTTGCTGGCACAACAGTGTCAACGGAATGATTACTGGAGCGGGAGATGAATGCCCGCTTTCGACAGGAGTTTCTCCAGAGGCACTATGCATTCGCTGCAATGTATGTGACCACCTGCGGTTCGAGAGCAACCACTGTGATTAAGGCATGTGAAGCGCATTTAACCGTTCATAACATTCCTCTATGACGGTGAGCAGGCAAGGCACAATGTGCGGCACGTGAAATAAACACTGTGGTAAACCAAAGCCATACCTGTGTCTGACCTCATTACCAAGAAGCATGAAAAGCTTCAGTTCAGTGTCGGGTTAAACCCACTGCTCAACACTGGGGCCGAACTTTTCAACTGTCGCTGGTTAACCATTTGTATGGTGTGCTTGGGCAGTGATTTTTTTTTTCCGTTCGTAGGAAAACTTCGCTATCGCCACCTTGAGTTTGAGGGGACTTTTTGAGAGTTTTACGATAAACAATTTTTGATCACAACAGTCCTGGTGAACAGCAAGTCTCACAGAGATAGCAGCTATATCAAAGCCACTCTGCACATGAACGAAATAGACCAGCCAAATATCGTCACTAGTGGGACAAAGAAAAGAGCAGGGTTGCTCTACACTTCTCTTCGTTTAACTGAGAAGGTGGCAGAGATTGGCATGCCTCAGCTGAGGCCTAAACAATTTGATCCCCTTGTAGTCTCTTAGTAGTGTGGATCACTTGTAACGTAAATCGCGAGAATCGCAAATACAGTATAGACCACTTATAACGTAAGTCACGGGAGTCGCGAATATCCACAAAATAACCAAAACAACCTTTTCCAAGGATCGCACTTTCGCGCAACGTGTTGAACACGCAGCTTCGCGTGTCCGAAAATCGAGACGTGCAGTCTTTTTTTCGTTCTCTTTTTCTTCTTTTCGCCCTTCGTTCGTACACTCCGTGTCACCTCCTCCTCCATAACGACCTCGTCGTCCGCTCCCCAGTGGCGCACTCAGCGCGCCACCTTTCAGAAGTGCACTCGCTACCCCATTTACACAAACAATTTCAGGCAACCACTTTATAACCCGTCTTTCATCTTGGGGGACTGCAGAATAAGCGATATGCATATACATGGGGTTCTATGGGAGGGTAAACTGGAGCAGAAAAAGACCGCATTGTAAGCATTTCTGCACTATAAGCGGTTATGTTAAAGCGGTCCACAATGTATATGCACTATGCAGTATCACGACATAACCAAGACAACCTTTTTCAAGGCCGCATTTGTGCAAAACGTGTTGAGCATGCAGCTTCACGTGTCTGAAAATCTAAGCATGCAATGCGTGGTGATTACACTTATTTAAATTTCCGAATGTTAATAAAAAAATTCAATGCCGAAAGACACGCACTGCCAACTAAATCAACGCCAAAAGATAGGGCTCTGCATACGATAATTTCAAGGTGAAGGTAAAAATTATTTGCTGCCGAATTAACCATGCTTGCTCGAACAAATGACCCCAAATGGGGTCTAAAGAACTGAAGTGGTTCATGTGCTGTTTACAGCTGGAAAGAATCGTTTAGCTGATATGTTCAACAAAATATTTAGTTTGCCATGTACTAGAAGGCACATAAAAATAATGAATTTTGGCATGCTGCAAACGGCATGAAGAAAAACTAGTTGTACATGTTCCTTAGGCTTTGCATTTCGATACTTTGTTGCAGAATAAAAATATCCAGAATCACACAATAACTACAGTTATTTACACAATACTTGCACAAAACAATGTATCAACCTGTTCCCATCACACCTACAGGGTCATACCTGTGTGCACTTCATTTGTGGTGGCCGGTCAAAGGTGAGCAGGAGCCGACGTGTTCGGGCAGGGGGTGGTGGAAATGTGTGGTACTCGTTCTGGTCCACACCAGGTGGCGCAACACAGTAGAGCAACTTCCCATTGACAAAGTCTTTGAGTATGTAGCGCGATGCACGTGGGTTATCCGGCAACCCACTTTGTGTCATGAAGCCTCGCATGTCTGCAAAATATGGCCGAACACAATCTATACATGGTCATTTCTAACATTAGACATTTGTACAAGGCATCAGTCAGAGTCTAGTTTTGAAAAGCAGCAGTCAAAGCTTCATAAAGTATGCGAAAAAATAAAGCATGAAGAAATACTGTTGATAACATACATATATGATAAGCAGGCATGGTGGTGAAAGTGGTTGTAGCATTGCAAACAATGAAGTAGATTAGAAGTGTGGCGGTTTGGGCTTGTTGGTATGATGATAGTTATAGAGAAAGAGCAGAACGACTCCTTGTCCCTTTGTCATCGTTCTGTTTTTGCGCTATAACTATCATCAAGTGAAGTACAACCTTTGTGAAGACAGTTCTGACAGTTTCAGCCAGAGCCTGGCCGAAACTGTCAGAATAAACACTTCCATTGTTACTGTCGTTATGGAGCTTCCCCTTCAATATAAATACACCGACAAGCACAAAGGCTAAGCAAATCTATGTACAGTCAAATTTTCTTATACCAAACCTCGGATTATTGATTTCTTCAGATTTACGACTTTATGAAAATTTCCTACCAAATGTCCATTGGTATAATATAAAAATATTTCATTACTACGAATTCCAGAATATTGAATGTTTGAGAAAAACATATTAAATTTCATTCCCCTTCTATATCTCCACAACACCTCAAAATAACTAATAGCGATTTAAAGAAGTTACTTGTGGCTGCGGAAATAATGCCTACCTCTAAACCTGCCACTATCATCATCAGAACGCCCACATATTTCTCTATGTAATATCATTGCCTGGAACTTGTTCTTTGTGTCAAGCTTTGCCCCGTTGCCTTTGTTTTCATCGGGCAGCTTTACCAGCACGCTTGTTATGGAGCCATTTTCTAGCCTTGGTTGGTAGTTCAATGTTCACCGTGAGCTTTCAAAGCAGCACGAAAGAAATGCTACAACAGTGAAAAGGCAACTCGATTGGTATGAAGTCATTGATCTAACACTACGCCACACAGTGCAACAACGAAACATGCACGTGAGCTTAGCCAACGACCGATGAGATTCATACCATTTGACGTGATAAGTGTCGAGAGCGAAGACAACGTCGAAAATTGAAATAGCATGCGTGAACCAACGTGAAGAATCCGTATTCAACACCGATGCTTCGTCGTGCAGAAGAAGGATGCCCAGGTTTAAGAGTGCTGTGACTCCGGGTGCCGCGGGTCTTATACTGGTAGCGGGCCCCCGTCTCAGGACCTGTCATCTAACAAGTCAGATGAGGTGCTCGTAAGAACGACAATAATTTATTTACATGGTTAGTAACTAAGAACTCAAAAGGAAGTAATCAAGTAAGTATGAGCTCCCTGCAGAACTGAACAGGAATCAGAACTCAAAAACCCTAAAACCAAAAATATACAAAGGTCTTCTGCTTATATAGTGCCGTGTTGCCAACTCTGGGCGCAATGTCCGTGGCTTCAGCCAATACGGCGCTCGATAAGTGCTCCGGCCACGAAGGCGGGGAAAGACACCGCAAAATACATGGAGAGGGCACAGTCTACACGATCAATGCCCAAATATAGTCACGAACGCACTGCATCAACGTTTTGCACACGTCACCAAGATTTTGCGCACATCCGATGATCCAGATGACCTTGGTTTCCAAGAACTCTTCCGGCAAGTAGGGTGAGGTTCGAAAGACCGGCTCTCGGTACATGTGCCAAACTTGCCTGACTGCGCTCGGATGGGACAATGTAGTGCCCTGACAGCTTATCATCAATCCTGCCACTCCATTTAGCCGATGCCATGGAGAGAGGGGGAAGGAGGAGTGGTCGACTAATTCCTCGTTGTCAAGGCGCTGAGGTGTGCTCCCACAAGGGCTGCAGAAGATAGTGCCTTTTTCCTTTCCTTCAACCACACATTCAATCCCTCGTTGTTTGCTAGAAGTTGTGGCTTAACTGCAAATTTCCCGGACTTCGCTTCTAGTCGAACAAGCTTTGCTTCTTCTCGCAAGGTCCAGCCACAATTGGTTTGGGTTTTTGCTTTCAGCCCAAACTGCAAATACCATGCTGGTTCCAGTCTCTCTATATCTATGGTCACCTTGAAAGTGGCCCAGTTGCCTCCTTGTTTCCCTGGAAAGCCTAGAATGGAGTTGAGTTCACAATGTCTTTTCTTTGCTCGTGCGTTTTCCTAGCGCTGAACCGGTCCTAGGACCCCTGGTTCACGTTTCGCTGAGAAGAAATCAGCCCGTCTTGACGGCACATCTTTACTTAGAATGCGTCGAAACATTTTCGTCCAGTTCACAAACCCCAAAAGACTTCAATAATAATGAAGGTCATAACAAGAATTTGTCTTTCAGTAGTCGAGCTGGCAACATCAGAATATATCGCACTCTTCCTCAAATAAACGAAACGTGCACTGGTTTCATTATAAAGTCGAGCCCACATAATAACGGCATCACTTAAAAGGAACGATACCCACGTGACCGTAGAAATATACATTGCTTCAATGGCACAAAATTGCACTTACAACGAACGTCGCTGAACGCTGCCAATCGGTTGCAGCAAACAAACTCGGCGCTCCAGCGACTTTGCAGGAAACCACCTTCGACCACTGATAAGACATTGGAGAGGTGCCCCCAGATTCTTATTATTGAAAGCCGATCTGCACCCCTCTAGTTGTCGTTCTCCCCAACCTTTTTTTTTTTTGCACATCTCTCTGTCTTTTGTCCCCACGCTACTCTGATAACCCCGCATCGCCAGACAAGGCCGGTGTTTTCACATTGCTGCAAATGTTTTGAAAACTGGTTGGCCAATTAATATCCTTCCAGTTTTTGACCACTGCTTTTGTTGTTGGTGTCACCAGCTTGGAGTGACTAGACCATTCGCCAACCCCAACAGCGACCGACCATACCTGATCATCTGCGTCTTGTCTGGTTCGGTGTCATATCGTTCCAGTGGACGCGACTCTGATAATTTGAGATTCATTCCCTTCTTTAGGACCTGTTCTCGCTCACTTTGCACTTGGCTCAACATGCTCTCCGCACGCGTGCGGAAGTGTAAAGACGGATGTTACATGAAATTAATCACGAATTATCAAAGTCGGTGAGGCAGCGAAACACCGCCGGTGTCACAACACGATTCTTTGACCTCTGCGCACGCAGGCACTCTTTCAAATTTTCCTACATGTGAGCTTCGCATTTCCTGGACCTTTCAAGCAAGCTACCCGACATACCTGCTTCCCATGTGTTTTTGGTTTTCAAGGTCGCCTTCCCACCGTATCCTACCATCTCTTCACTCTATCATAACTCCTTGTTTTTTCTCTCGCAAGTCTACTCTCCTCTGTTCAGGTGCTGCGCCAGTGCGCTTCCTACTGGGCTGAAAAAATCAGCCACCTTATTAGAACCTCTTTATCACAACTCTTATGCCCATCTCCACCGGTCCGCGACAACCGTCACGCTGGCTCGGATTCAAAAGTTTTGTTTTCTGAGTAGAAACGGGCCCAGAGCAGTTCCTTACGTTCTGGCATGTGTCCGGTCCGCAACACCCGTCACGCTGGCTCGGATTCAGAAGCTTTGTTTTCTGAGTAGAAACGGGCCCAGAGCAGTTCCTTGCGTTCTGGCATGTGTGTGCGTCTTGCTCACTGTTGGTGTGCGTGTGTGGTCAGGATAGCAGATGAAGGCCTTCTGTGCTTTTTTCTGCTGCTCAACAAAACACCAAAAGTGTGACTGCTTGGCTTGGATGTAATCCGTGCGTTAGGTGCCCTGTTGTGGAGTGTTTGCTCAAAGCTGTTGACTACTTGGCAGCAACATGCCACTTCGAGAGTCCCGGTAATGGGCTGTAGAAATGGTGAAGGTTTCGTGGGCGGTGGTGACCACTAGATGCGTGCCACACTGTTTTCGCGAGGCTGACTTTGTCGACGTAGGGCCCGCTGCCGAGCCTGAAGCTTCCGAACGGGACCACTCCGGCAGCAATTTGTGGTAGCGCATCATCAACTACGACATGGGAGAGTGGGCGAGAAATCTGATGTGATGACTTCATGACTAGCAATGATGATGCCGACACCGTGTAACCATGCATGGATGAAGGCATTATGAATGACGTGCGTGGCAAGAGCAATTTGAAGGAATCAGATTTATTTATTTATTTATTTACAGGATTTCTGCTTGCTTCAAAGTGAAGCCATAAGCAGGAGTGGGTAACATATAAATATAGCACACTGAACATTTTCACAATATATTACGCACAGAAAATGCCACAGACACACAAGTTTTAATGCGGTGAAAAGAAAAATATACAGTGCATGACATGCAATTGCGCATAGCATTATACTTATATAAGTGTGTATTAACATCACTTGTGTACTAACAACTTAACGTCACAAAACAAAGAGTACAAATATGGCAGGAAGACATGCTGTAAGTTTTTTAGCTCCGATAAGAATGACGCCACTGTCGCCGTCTCCACAATCCCACCAGGGAGGCGATTCCACTCGCGTACAGTTCGTGGGAAAAAAGAGCCCATGTGCGAGTTTGTTCTGCAAGAAAATTCCTGTAATTTTTTTGAATGATCCGCCCGCGTGGGTCGTCGCACGACTTTTTCTATATACGCACTTGAATGAATGCCAAGCTTATCGTGATAGAGCAGGTACATATATTTTAGTCTTTCGCGATATCGCCGCAAATGTAAATCTTCCAAGTTCGATGTCTGAAGCAAAGCAGTGACTGACGTAAGGCGATTGTATGAGCGAAAGAAAAATCGAGCAGATTTTCTTTTTAGGTTTCCTAGTTTATCAATATTTTTCTTTGTGTATGGGTCCCAGACCACGCAGGCATATTCCAAAAGGGGACGAATGTAGGTTTTATATGCTAATAGTTTTATTACTTGCGTTGACTGTCGTAACGATCTTCTAAGACATCCAAGCTTTTTCATGGCTTTCTTTTCTAGAAAAGTGATATGTTCATTCCACCGGAGGTCTGAAGTGATTACCAAACCTAAGTATTTATAATGATTTACAGCAC